ATATTATTCATGCTGGTTCATATCTGTAGCTGCAGCTTAGTAATTAGTGTGTGAGTAAATGAGTGTGGGAACATCTGGAACCAAACTCCCGTATAATACTGAGTGGCAGTGGGAGTTTTTTTTTTCCTGCTTTCTTTTGACACTTAAAAAAAGCTGAACTTAAGGGAGCAACTTGTTCCTGTAAAAAAAACAAAAACAAAAAAAAGCACAGAAAAAATATCTGTGTGCAAACATGAAGTCTGTTACAAGCTTAATTTAAAGCTTTGTTGTAATTATGGTTAAAAGCCACCAGAGGTCAGTGTTGCATCATTATTAATGTTTTATGTTTCCCTTATGATCAGTTTTACTGACGGAATGTTTAATCCACATCATTCATTTCATCTTTATTTATATGATTTGTCTCTTTAAGAACCAAGATTTTATTTACAAAAGACACCAGTTTGATAAAAACCAACAGAATTATAAGGAGAAAAAAAAAAAACACAGAAATGTAATGTAATTTTTTAAAATCTTTTTAGGTCACAGTGAGATTTTATTTTGAAGCAAACTTTTTGTGTTTTTTTTTTTTTCTCTTTCTAACTGGTCAAGCTGGTTTTCTAAAGTGGTTACCAGCTCGGCTTTTGGCCGATTCCTTAAGCTTAAATATCTGATAAAAAAAAATGTTAGAGGAACAAAAGGCAGTGGAGGATTCATCAATATAAAATCCTGATACCGTATATGTTTTAAAACTTTTCCCCAGTTAAACATTTAACAGGAATAGTTAAAGATACAATCATTTATTCTCACGCTATTCTTACGTTACAAAAAAAGCAGTGAATAATTAGATAATTAAAAAAGGCATTTATTTGGTGTTATTTTATTTAAAATTGAGGAAAGCCTTTTTACAGAGTCCTCTGGTTCCAGCCGTAAAGTCTCTCTGGATGTCCTCCACCCTCTCCAGCTCCACCAGAAATGGGAAGTAACGAAGTACAAATACTTTGTTACTGTACTCAAGTAGATTTTTCTGATATTTTTACTTTACTT